TATTATCATGTAATTGATCATTTCTGGGATATTCAGAGAGCTGGGTTTAGTAGCAGTCGTTTAATCAGAACCTATGAGTAGGCTCATAAGACCGTCGTGTGTTTATCATCATTATTATCATGTAATTGATCATTTCTGGGATATTCAGAGAGCTGGGTTTAGTAGCAGTCGTTTAATCAGAACCTATGAGTAGGCTCATAAGACCGTCGTGTGTTTATCATCATTATTATCATGTAATTGATCATTTCTGGGATATTCAGAGAGCTGGGTTTAGTAGCAGTCGTTTAATCAGAACCTATGAGTAGGCTCATAAGACCGTCGTGTGTTTATCATCATTAATCCTTTCATTATCCCCTTAAGGAGCAATCCATCACCCGGACAGCTGCCTAGTTTTAGGGCGAGCGCCAGCAACACACAATATCGATCGGCTGATCGATAGCCCTCCGAAGGAGTGTGATTGCACCCCCTATCCAAGATGGCAACTGCAGCGAGTCAAAAGCAGGTCTCCAAGAAGCGTAAGTTCGTCGCCGATGGCGTGTTCTATGCGGAGCTTAATGAACTTCTCACTACTATCCTTGCTGAAGATGGTTACTCTGGTGTCGAGGTCCGTGTGACTCCTATCAAGACTGAGATTATCATCCGTGCTACTAGGACTCGTGAGGTCCTTGGTGAGAAGGGTCGTAGGATTAGAGAGCTCACTGCTCTTGTTGAGAGACGTTTCGATTTCCCTGAGAACTCCGTCGAGCTCTTTGCTGAGCGTGTCGATAATCGTGCTCTCTGTGCCCAGGCTCAAGCTGAATCACTTCGTTACAAGCTATTGGGTGGTCTTCCTGTTCGTAGGGCTGCTTATGGTGTATTAAGGTTTGTTATGGAGAATGGTGCTAAGGGTGTTGAGGTTACTGTATCTGGTAAACTACGTGCCCAACGTGCTAAGGTTATGAAGTTTGCTGATGGTTATCTCCTATCTACTGGTACTCCTAAAGAGATGTATGTTGATCAAGCTATTCGTAATGTCGATATGCGTCAGGTATTCTTGGTATCAGAGTTAAGATTATGATGGCTTATGATCCTGAGGGTAAGAGTGGTCCCAAGACTCGTCTACCTGATGATATC